GAATTGTTTCAAATTTGGTATTTAAAATTCGTAATGGATACTTTAGCCCAAGACAGAAAATTGTCTGTGCATGTCCATGTCTTCACATAGCCCCCATACAACGGTAACTCCCGATATTTGGTATTTTAATGATTTTAGTGACATTATTCACCGGAATTGTTTCAAATTTGGTATTTGAAGTTTGCAATGGATACAACAGCCTAAGACGGAAAAGTGTCAGTGCAGGTCCATGTCTTCGTGTAGCCCCCACATAACGGAACCTCCCGATATTTGGTATTTTGATGATATTAGCGACATTATTCACCGGAATTGTTTCAAATTTGGTATTTGAAGTTCGTAATGGATATTACAGCCTGTGGCAGACAATTGTCTGTGCAGGTCCACGTCCTTCGTATAGCCTCCATATAACGATACTTCCCGATATTCGGTATTTTGGTAATTTTAGTGACATTATTCACCGGAATTGTATCAAATTTGGTATTTGAAGTTCGTAATGGACAGAAAATTGTCTGTGCAAGTCCACGTCTTCGTATAGCCCCCATATAGCGGTACCTCCCGATATTCGGTATTTTGATGATTTTAGCGACATTATTCAACGAAATTGCTTCAAATCTGGTATTTGTGCTTCGTAATGGATACTGCAGCCTATGACTATAAATTGTCTGTGCAGGTCCACGTCATCGTATAGCCCCCATATAGCGATTCCTTCCGATATTTGGTATTTTGATGATTTTAGCGACATTATTCACCGAATTTGTTTTCAAGTTTCGCATTTGAGTATTGCAATGGTTTATGACAAAATTTGCCTACCCAGGTCCACGTAGTCGTTTAGTATTAGGGTCTATACGACTACGTGGACCTGGATACATTTTGTATTTTTATGATTCTAACAGAATTTTTAACGGAATTTATTTTTTTGGAATATTGCCGAATTCGTTCCAAATGATGGAGGGTATTTAAAGTTCGGCCCGGCCGAGCTAACAGATTTTTACAGCTTTACCCTAGAACATTGTGTGTTAGGGGTATTATAAGTTTGATTGGGCCAAAAATTATATAACACCTCGATATATTGATTTCCCACATAGGAAAGTATATATGGATCTTCCTATATCGCCGAGCTGAGTCGATCCAGCTATGTATGTCCGTCCGCCTGTCCATGGTAATTTGTAATCACTTTACAGGTCGCAATTATTGAACGATCTTCACGAAATTTAGAATGGAGGTGGGGCCAGAATAGAAGCCTGATCGCATAATATTTAGAGGTGGAAATTGACCAAAAACTGAAAAATGTCCTGATTTTGCAGTTGCTCTACAGGCCGCAATTATAGACCAATCGACGCGGAAGTTAGCACGGAGCTAGAGCATAGGGTTGGGCAGAAGTCTTCCAATTTTGATGGTCATCGGGTAATATTTAGTGGGGGAAATAGGTCATAATATTTGTGTTAAATAAAATCCCGGCGAAATCACAAATAGACGAACAGATCAATCATGAATGTGACGTAGATGCCGACAGTAAATATATCGGATATATATGGCGAAATATATATAATATGTTCATACAAAGATGGGGATGCTAAAAAAAATTATGTCAATTCAGAATGCCCTCTTGGCATAAAAGATTAAAATATAAAAAAAATCGCAGTAAAAGATGCCAATAATGATGTTCATATAGATTTTGTAGTATTTTGTGACATTTTTTTTATTTTTTCATATTTAACAAGTAAGCAAAGGCTACCGGCGAGCGGGGCCGACCGTTGAATACCCTACAACACTTTAATAAACGATACAGTTTATATAGGCGAGATACTCGAAAGAATTTCACAAGATATTGTGACAAATTATAAAAGAAAACCATCAGGTTTCGTTCTCTAATTTTCGAATAATAGCAACTTTAACTAATTTGCTCATTTCCAATTTATTGGTAGATGTTGCACGTAAATAGTCTTCCTAGATCTGGAACCAATATTTTCCAAAGACCTATAATCTCTCAGAAGTGGCAAAAGATTAACATTTATTATTGGTTTTTGACTGAAACGCATCTATATGAGATACAGACATTTGACTATATTCGTTAACGAAATAGTCAGAAGTGCGTCTTTCCTGTATTTGTGAATTCTCCAAAAAGTCATTGGAATGGACATTTTCGTATTTTGTCTACAAAAGTTGGCAAGCTATTCACACATTGAATATTTTTGGATGGCCATCCAAAACTGCTTGGCTTTTGCAATGTCCGGTAACCCCCATTCAAATGTGCGTGAGGATCGGGCGATAATTACGACCTCCTGACAATTTTGCAGTTTTTTTGGTCCATTTCAACCCCTAAATATATGGCGATCATCTCCAAAAAGAGTAGGCTTCTATTCTGACCCTCATCCATGACCCTCCATGCAAAATTTCGTAAGGATCGGGCAATAAATGCGATCTGTATATGATATCCTGATATCCTAACTACTTAGTTTTGTTAGCTGTAGAAATATTACCAAATGTTTAATTCAAAATGAAAATATGCCAAAAATATGACAAAATTGAAAAAATATGAGAAAATTTTACAAAATCAATATTTTCATCTTTAGAGAGATATTTTTATGCGATTTTTTTAGACGTTTATTCTTTCCTGCCAAGAGACCATTCTGAATTAATGAGAACTGTCGAAATCAGTTCAGCCGTTCTCGACATATAAGAGATTTTTCAAGCATATCTTCTTTGATAAACAAATATATCGCACATATTTTGCTATATATCCGATTTCTTGGATGTTAACATCAATGTAAAGGTCAGAAGTAACCTTGTCATGGCTTTGTGATTTCGCCGGGATTTAAAATATTCGCGGTTTAATGAAAAATTTTGAATTTTTTCAACACAAAATATATGGTCTATTTTACCCGCTAAATATTATCCGATGACCACCCAAATTGGTAGGCTTCTTCCCCGCCCTAAACTCTAGCTACATGCGAAATTCCGCGTCGATTGGTCTATAATTGCGACCTGTATAGCTACTGCAAAATTTGAAATTTTTTCAGTATTTGGTCCATTTCAACCCCTAAACATTTGGCGATCATCTCAAAAAGAAATAGGGTTCTATTCTGGCCCGACCCCGACCTCCATTCCAATTTTCGTGAAGATCGGGCCATAATTGCGACCTGTAGAGTGATTACAAATTAACATGGACAGACGGACAGACGGACGGACGGACATACATAGCTAGATCGACTCAGCTCGGCGAGCTAGGAAGATCCATATATACTTTCCTATATGGGAAACCAATATTTCGAGGTGTTACATAATTTTTGGGCCAATCAAACTTATAATACCCCCAACACATAGTGTTGTAGGGTATAAAAACTATATATAATATTGAAGTGAATATTTTGTAATTATTTTTTTACTTTACAACAAAGGTTGGAGTTATTATTTATATACAGAGTGCAATTTTCTTCCGATCATCACGAAATTATTAAGAAAGGTAGGATTAGGCTCAGAAGGGCTAAGCTTATTGTTTTCAAAGATGTCCGCAATCTATTTAAGGGTTGAAATGGACCAGCAACTCAACATTTTCCTGGTTTTGCAGCCGTTAAGTAGGTCACAAATAGAAACCTAAGGACACGAAATCCCGCATGAAGTTAGAATTTAAGACAGCGGGTAGAATGTGTGAAAAAGTACCAACATTACTTACAGGTAATATCCGATATACGCAATAGGCGAACTTCTGGCTTTTTTATGCTGATTTCGCTGACGAATATAGCCAAATATCGTAGACAAGCAAATCATATAGATGAGTCTAAATTTGGAGACACAGAGGCCCTCTTGCTTTTGGAGGTGTTCAAATGAAACAATAACAGAAAAAAATTCCTGATCACATATTGAAGCCAATCGACACGCCTGTGGATGACCATTGGTTTATATTTAGCCGTAAAATGGACCACAAAAACGAACAGCACGACGGAGTGCATAAATATTGGGCAAATGCTAAGGGTAATAGCTGAGCAGTACTCCGTGACATAATTTCAAAATAGAAATCTTCCAAAATGGATTTGGGCATGAGCGGGGATCCAACATATTGTAGTGTTGTAGGGTATCACATGGTCGGCCCCGCACGACTATAACCTTTGCTTACTTGTTTTTATTCTCATTTCATTTCCGCATTCCTCATTTCCATTTCTCATTTTCAAGACTACCTACATATCTTAATTCCATATACCAATAGAGATCTCAAAATCACATTTCGGGATTCCAGCTCTATTTCTTCACTGAGTAATCAATTTCGTACAATTTAGTAATTTTCGTACAGTTTTTATACCCTACACCACATAGTGATAAGGGTATTATGTCTTTGTGCATTTATTTGTAACATGGAGATAAAAACGAGATAGACCCATACTTAATTCTGAGGATCTTCATAGAATTATTTCTGAGTAGATTTATGGATGTCAATTAGTCCGTCCATGTATTCTCGTGAAAAAAATGCAAGTCGCATTTATTATCCGATTGAGATGAAATTATGTAAACGAAAATACCTCTATAAAATTTGATAGAAAAGACCTCTATAAAATTTGATTGAATCTTAAAAGGATTTCGGGTTAATTGTGCACCAAATGGCCAATATCTGTCAAAAAGTACTAAATTTTGGTGCATCCGTATCAGAAAGGCGGCCCCGCCCGACTTTTGACTTTCCCTTACCGCTTTTTTCATTCAAATATTACTAGACTGAATATACTCCTCTCGATTTCCTCCGGCTGCACCTAGGAAGGACATTTACATATCAGTCTTTCTTTAGTTGAACAAATTTTATTTTGTTGCGAATAATAGGCAGAGTGAAAATACCCACGCTCACATAAAGCTGTTGAGGTACAATTGGTTAGACAATTGTGGATTGGACTCTGGTTTCATTTTATTGTGTGCGGACGTTGTCTTTGTCGCTACGGTGACATTGGCGTTGTTATTGTTACTGCCTCCGCAGTTGTTGATGATGGCGATAGAGTTTATTTTTAATAAAATTGAAGTACATTTGTTGGGTTTTTATTTAAAAAGTGTATTCAACCTTTATTTTAAATTAAAGCAAATAAAGAGAGGGTGGCTCGACCAACAGTGTCGCATCCTTTTTCGTATTAACCCCAGATTCTAACATTTAAACAACAATTAAATCTAGAATTTATTTTATATAATTTTAACAATCGTATTTACCAGCTGAAGAAGAAGTATTAGAGCTGTAACACATTGTGGATTTATTTTGACTCCCCGGCCCATTGCCAATATCCATTTGGTGTGATATGTTATGTCGGTAAATATTGTTGGCCTGAAATAACGGCATGTACTGCTAAACGAAACTATACCCACCAATTTATTGTGACACATTAGTGGAGCTCCCGCATCACCACGACAAGTATCCACAAATGGATCGCTTGGATTGGCCGCACATAGTAAGTCTTTTGTAAAGTAATGTCCATACGTTTTCAAACATTGTGAATTCGGAATTATACTAAGATTGCCATAGGTAATTCGACCAGCATATGGGCCATCCTTTAAAATAAAGTTAGAGAGAGATAGAGAGAGAGTTCTTCGTTAAATGGATTAGATTGGAAAAATCTGAAAAGGGAGGGAATGTACAATGAAAAGCAGGAAGCGCTGACATATCTGCTTAACATCTGAGATGAATCAGTTAGAATGGGATAACATGTATATCCATAAATAGATGATGTGAGTTTTTCTTATTTAATACAAATTTCGCAATACTTTCAGAATGTATGAAACTGTTTTTGATTTCTGGGTCTCATTTAATGGATTTGTCCTCCTCACCTCAGTGCCCCATTGATGTTTCGGTTTTAACAATCTTTTCATTAGTTTACGGCGTAACAATGTAGAAAATGAAGGATAAATGAATAACAAAGGGAGGAACAAGATTTTGTTTTAATTTTAATATAATTTTACTCAAATAATATAATATATAATGTCTGCAGGACTTTTTGTATTGAAAATAGGCCATGTAGTTTGCCTACATTATATAATCCCCATATAATGGTACCTCGCCATATTCGGTATTTTGATGATTTTAGCGACATTATTCACCGAAATTCTTTCAAATTTGGTATTTGAAGTTCGTAACAGATACTACAGCCTAAGACAGAAAAGTGTCTGTTCAGGCCAACGTCTTCGTATTGCCCCCATGTAACGGTACCTCACGATATTCGATATTTTGATGATTTTAGCGACGTTATTCACCGAAATTGTTTCAAATTTGGCATTTCTATGTAGGTCCACGTTTTGATATAGCCCCCATATAACGGTACCTGCCGATATTCGATACTTTGATGATTTTAGCAACATTATTCACCGGAATTGTTTCAAATTGGTATTAGAAGATCGTAATGGAACTACAGCCTACGACAGAAAATTACATTGATGATGAAATAAGCTACATTATTCACCGATTTTTTTCAAAGTTTCGCATTTCAGTATTATATCTTATAATATTATTATATTATATGTATCTGTAATCGATCAATGGATATGTTCATATAAAATCTAAATTTCTGGGAGGTACCTCCGATTTTGATGCTATATCTCCGGTTCCAAGTGGAATTTGAAAAATTAAATAGCTTATGTTACTTTAAGGCCATGTTGTATATTTGGAAATTTTCAGGAAAATCTGTCCAGCGGGTTTTTTACATTCACATGTAAATTGTTAAAAAGTTTACTCTGAGATAAAATTGATCATTACGGTTGTAACAGCTCGGATTATTTTTACACTTCATTAAATTCCAAGTCGACTCAGTTATGTGCGTCTAGCAGCAACTTGGAATTTTACTCTAATAATAATGTATAATTTACGGGTCTAAAATTATTTTCTTGTTAAGTTACAAAAAGAATGACAAATGACCTCATGGTGCAGGGAATGAAAAATTATTCGTCGCATGAAAAACTAACGGTTTCCACAATTAAGCAAATTTTAATTTTTAGTAGAATAAAATCAGGAATAATATCGTTTTATTCTGGGGGGTTTTAGTCAAAAGTCGGGACCGACTATATGATACCCTACATCATTATGCTTGTTTAGTAGAGCTCGCGTAACAAAAGAATTAATTTAAAGTAGATCAGGTGGGATGATCTACGTTTGACTTTAGAGCAGTTATAGTTTGCTATAGAGTGAATGATATCACTTGGTGAAGGATTATATTAAAAAAAAAATATATATATAGGAGCCGAGTTGCACAACATTTAAACGTACGTCCCGAAATTCACTCGTTTAGGGCTGATATTAGCCGTTATTTACAAAATAAACCTGAAATCGGATAAAATATATATATGAGAGCTATAGCTACACCTGTACCGATTTACTTCAAATTTGATGTAAGTGCTTCTAGACTGAATTCGGTTAAAATTCAGGATTTTTGACAGATATTGGCCATTAACCCGAAATCGGTTAAAGATATATATATGGGACCTACTCGCACATACAAATCTGGATCAAATTTGGCAGAGGTATTTCTGAGCTCTATATGATATCTGGTACCAAAGATCATTGTTGTATAAGCTATAGCTATCTGAACCGTTTTACACCAAATTCGAAGTACTGGTTTATGGGATGAATTCAGTCGTAATATCCAAAATTAGTCCTTTTGGGCTGATATTCGTCATTTGTTGAACAATAAACCTGATATCAGATAAAGATATATATGAGAGATATGTCCTAATCTGAACCGATCTCGATAAAATTTGATGGAGGTATTTTAGCACAGTATCTGATGTCCGGTACCACACATCATTCTTCTGAAGTGCATATCACTCATGTGAGAGACTTTAAACCCCCAATCGGATAAAAAATATACAATATATCTGAACCGTTTTTCACTAAATTGAAGCACATGCTTTTGGACTTATATTAGACATTTGGTGACGATAAACCCGAAATCGGTAGAAGATATGCGGGGGTTATATCTAACTCTGATCAGATTATCACCAATTTCAATAGGGTTCGCCCTTGGGCCAAACAAATATTGTTTGCAAGATTTAATTTCAATCGGATAATAAATGCAACCTGAATTTTGTACACAAGAATACATGGACTGACATGCATAATACGATTTAGAAAGGATTCTATGAAGATTCTCAAAAGTAACTATGGGTCTATCTCGCTTCCTTCTCCATATTATAAACAAATGCACAAAGGCATAATACCCTTGCCACTATGTGTTGTAGCGTATTAAAAGGTCCGTAGTTAATGTAAGTAAGTATTTCAAAGGTTATTATTTTAAAGAAGAGCTGGACCCTATAAGTAAAAGTATAGATGTTCATACAATGAAGTAGAATCGTTTCTGGTATAATTTGCCTAATCCATGGGGTTTTCTATACCCCTCGTTCAGCTACAATAAGCTTTTGTACCTTACAATACTATGTGTTGGGCGTATTATAATTTTGATTGGGCCAAACATTATGTAACACCTCGAAATATTTGTCCTCAACATAGGAAAATATATTTGGATCTTCCTATCTCGCCGAGCTGAGTCGATCTAGCTAAGTATGTCCGGCCATCCATCAGTCAATGTTAATTTGTAATCACGCTACATGTCGGAATTGTGGTCTGATCGTCAGGTGGGGTTAGGGCCAGAATAGAACCCTATTGTTTTTAGAGATGATTACAAAATAATTAAGGGTTGAAATGGACCAAAAACAAAAACATTTCTTGATTTTGCTGTTGCTCTACAGGCCACAATTATGAACTAGTCGACGCGGAATTTGACATGGAGGTTGAATTTAGGGCTATGCAGAAGTCTACCAATTTGGACAAAATTTCGTGGGTAAAAAAAAAACTTTAATTGTATGGCAATCAAGTAAGCAAAGGCTATAGTCGTGCGGGGCCGACCATGTAATACCCTAGAATTCTTCCCTGTACTTAACTCTCTTCACTGGCGTGTCGATTGGCTACAATTGTGTGATCGGAAACACATTTCTGTTTTTGGTTAATATGAACCCCTGAATATTTTGCAATCATCTCCAAAAGCAAAAAGCCTCTCTGTATCTCCATACTTAGACTCATCTATATGATTTTCTTGTCTACGATATTTGGGTATATTCGTCAACGAAATCAGCATAAAAAGCCAGAATTTCGCATTTTGTTTTTTTCGGATATCGCCTGCAAGTAAAGTTCTAATTTTTTCATACAAAAGTAGTGGTCAATTTTATCCGCTGTCATAAACTCTAACTTCGTACGATATTTCGTGTCCTTTGGTTTCTATTTGTGACCTTTATAACGGCTTCAAAATCAGGAACATTTTTAGTTGTTGGTCCATTTCAACTAAATATATTGCGGACATCTTTGAAAACTATTGGCCTAGCACTTCTGAGCCTAACTCTACCCTTGTGAAAATTTTCGTGAGGATGGGACGATAATTGCAATCTGTATATAATAATCCCAACCTGTGAACAAATATTACAAAATTTACACTTGAATATTATAAGTCAAATTGAAAAAATCGCATGCGATAAAAAATATGAAAAAAATAAAAAAAATGTCACAAAATATTACAAAATCTATATTAACATCATTATTGGTATCTTTTTATGCGATTTTTTTAGTTTTTATACTTTTATGCCAAGAGGGCAGAGTTATATTCTGACAATATCCCCACCTTCATTCTAAATTTCATGAAGATCGGACCATAATTGCCACCTGTAGAGTGATTACAAATTAACATGGACAGACGGACGGACGGACATACATACATAGCTAGATCGACTCAGCTCGGCGAGATAGGATCATCCATATATACTTTCCTATGTGGGAAACCAATATTTCGAGGTGTTACATAATTTTTGGCCCAATTAAACTTATAATACCCCCAACACATTGTGTGGTAGGGTATAAAAATACGAACATTTTTATTAAACTGCGAATATTTTTAATCTCACAAATACATTAAAAAGTCACTTCTGAACATTACTCGCACAGTGATGCTGGTAGCCAAGATGTTATATCCCACATATAGGTGCAATATATATGTATAAGAAATCGATTTTAGTTATTCTGATTATAAGTCAAAAACCGTTGGACTAATTTTCACGATTCTCATCAATTCGGCATAGTCTCTTTGTCAAAAAACGATAAAATCTATGAAAATCGCGTAAAAATATGACAATGAAAGTGAATATTTTTTGTTAATTTTTTTTTCAATTTTTTGTCACATTTTTTATCGCATGCGATTTTCTCATCTTTCACCTCCAATTTTGAATTCTAAATTTTCTAAATTTTTACACTCTGCAACACTACGTTTTGAGGGTATTATATATAGGTCGCAATTATAATCCGATCATCACGAAATTTTGTATAGGGGTGGGATTAGAGTCGAAATTAAAGCCTATTATTTTTGAAGATGTACATTTGGGGGTTCAAATAGACAACTGATAACCAATTGACACAGAAATTTGCATGAGAAGCGATTTAAGACAGCGAAGAACTCTAGCATTTTGGATTACCGTTGGATTACATTTAGCTGTAAAATGGACCACAACTTTTATGTGAAATTGTTTTGAATACCTCAGTGCCTCAATATTGGGTAAATGCCCCCAGTCAAAAAGCTAAGAATAACATCTTCCAAATGGATTTGGACATAAAGGGGTATCACATATTCGTCCACGCACGGCTATGGTCTTTGCTTACATGTTTCATTTTACAATAAATATATTACCACATAGAGTTGACCCCATCCAAGGGTTTGACATTCAGTTCCCACGCGCGGTCGATATTTGGCCAATGATATGATTTTTATTTTCGTATTTGATCTCGGTATTGAATCAGAGAGAATCAACAAGGCGATATCATAACCTTTGCGACGTTGAAATTTTGGATGTGGTATAACCTTCGAGACCATAAATTCCATTGTGGTTTGGTCCTTTTTCAAACGATTTGGTGAGCCAGCCACAACGCGGAGCCGACGTGGACGGGTAACAATGCGGTGACCACTGAAAATATGAAATGCAGTTAAATTGTTTCTCACGATCCCTCCTGCAGTACTTACTCCACAACACAATGGGCAGCTGTAATAATAATGCTCGATGTGATGATGGCGCCAGCGCAAAAGTGATTATCACCAAAATAGGCAGTTGGTTCGCGAGTTCTAATCGACACCACATGACGATCTAGATCAACATTTATGGGACGATAGCCACTGCTAATGTAGGGATGTATTTCAGGTGGCAGCAAGGGACCAACATTATTACGAAATCCATTCTTTCCTTCGCCAATGGATCTGAAGTGGCTAATATTGACATCTGAACTCTCCATAAAATAAACCAAGCTGAATATTAGCAGAATAATAAACCAATTCCCGAAATATCCCATCAAAAGATATATTTATTAAAAATTTTATTTTATTTTCTCCAAAAAATCAATACCGACAATAACATGTAAATCAAAATGTCATTTGCCATTGTCAAATTATTTGATTTACTCAATTGCTGTTCAATCCATTGCCGATGATACCAAACATCCGTGTAAAGGCTGGCTGCATGAAAACTCCCACAACCAATAGTCCATGAAATAATACCGGTAAGAGTGTTGTTGCATATCAAAGGACCACCGCTGTCACCACGACAAGGATCCTGTTTAAAGGGTTTATTTTCACCAGCACACAACATGCCTTCTTTAAATCTGTCCGGCAACTTTTGACGGCATTCCTCGGGGCTAAATAAATGTACGCCCAGATGTGTGGCCAAATCGGATAAAGGACCGTTCTAACAATTCGGAAATAAGATGGAAGGAAGACGAAAGCAAGGGAATAAATATTTAAAGGACAATTGGTAAAATGAAGAAAAATTGAAAAAAAAAATCAAATTGGATACCTTCAGAAGGACTGTCTACACATTTAGGGGTTCATGTAATGCCCTGAGTAAGTTTTTCTTTGTAGAAGATATTCAGACTGTTTTCTTTTTTAAAGGGACCTTTAAAAGATGTTTCGTATATAAGAGAACTTCAAAAGTCATCAATTTTCAAAAGAAGGACTTCTGTACATAGGAGACTCTAAGAAGGCTCTCTAGGCAAATAACACCTTCAAAAATATTTTATCTATAGCAGATTTTGAGAGAATACGTTTAGAACGTCTTCTATCTTTAGAAAACTCTTAGAAGTGCTTCTATCAATGGAAGGTCCTTTATAAAGTCTTCTATATACAGAGGAATTATTAAAGGTCTATACAAAGTCTCATATAAGTAGGGAACATGGATGATTTCATAAGACCTTCTATTTACAGAAGACTTCCAGAAGGTCATTCGCCTGTTGGACATCTTAGAAAGGCCAAGCAAACCTGTATAATATCTTTTACCTCTAAACCTTCGAGAGGTCTGCTTTTAACATATATTCTTCAGAATTATTTGATTGATTGATTTGAAGGTAACATGTTACTAAAAAAGTCTTAAAGAAAAGGAGATTTTTTGAAGAACTATTATCCATAGGAGACCTCCATAATGCTTCAACCTATAAGAAATCTTTAAAATTTACATAACCTATATAAATCCTTTAGGTCTTTTATATATAGGAGGCCAAGAGGAGATATTTTATCCATCGTGTTATATTTTAAAGGGAACTACAGAAAATTTAATACCTACATGAGACCTATAGGTCTTCCTAAGGTCTTATTTTTACCGAAAGTCTTCAGAAAGCATTTTATATTTTGGATACCTTGGGGAGGTCTTATATATAGGATGTTTTAAGATGTTCTCCGTATATAGGAGACCTTAAGATGGTATTTTGGTTGAAGAGAAACTATCAAACGTTCCATTTTTTGATGAACTTTATAAGATGTTCTATCTATAGAACCCCTTTGAAAGATCTTCAGGTCTTCCAAAGGTCTAATTTTTACCGAAGATTTTCAGAAAGTATTTTATATTTTGGATACCTTGATGACGTCTTATATATAGGAAGTTTTAAGTTGGTCTCCGTATATAGGAAACCTTAAGATGGTATACTGTTTAAAGAGAGACTGTCAAACGTTCCATTTTTTGATTAACTTTACAAGATGTTCTATCTATAGAACCCCTTTGAAAGATCTTTAGGTCTTCCTAAGGTCTTATTTTTAACGAAGGTCTTCGGAAAGTATTTTATATTTTTTGATACCTTGAGGAGGTTTCAAATATAGGAGGTTTTAAGATGGTCTCCGTATATAGGAGACCTTAAGATGGTATTCTGGTTGAAGAGAGACTATCAAACGTTCCATTTTTTGATGCACTTTACCAGATGTTCTATTTATAGAACCTCTTTGAAAGATCTTCAGGTCTTCCTAAGGTCTTTTTTTAACGAAGGTCTTCAGAAAGTATTTTATATTTTGGATACCTTAAGGAAGTCTTATATATAGGAGGTTTTAAGATGGTCTCCGTATATAGGAGACCTTAAGATAGTATTCTAGTTGAAGAGAGACTGTCAAACGTTCCATCTTCTGTTGAACTTTACAAGATGTTCTAACTATAGAACCCCTTTGAAAGATCTTCAAACAAAAGAGGGTCTTCTATCTGTAAAGGACTTCCAGAAAATCTTCTCTATATAGGTATATTATATTGTTCTCGTTTTAGGAGACCTTCATAAGAAATGCTGTCTACGTAAGACCTTCAGATAGCCTTTTATTCCGAAAAGGTATTTTATCTATAGGAAATTTTCAGAATATCTAATGTAGGAAAAATTCAATAGGAGACTAGACAAGCTTCCAGTTTTAGACTACCTTTAAAAGCACTTCCATCTGTAGGCGACCTTCGTAAGGCCTTATATCAAAAGGAAATTTTAAAAAGGTCTTCTATTCAAAGGTGACTTTCAGAAATTCTTCTCTATACAGGAGACCAAAGGAGACTTCCAAAATTGTTTCTTTGTATAAGATTTTCTAGGCATTTTTTACGGAACTTTCTTCTATATAGCAGACTTTTACAAATATAAGGCAGTTTTCTATCAAAAGAAGGTCTTCATATAGGAGACTTTCCATGCATAGAAGACTTAAAAAATACCTCAATGCATTGGAGGTCTTTTGAAGATTTTCTTTCTTAAGAAGAACTTCCTAATGGTCTTGTATTTAGAGTAGGTCTTTTATCTTGAGATGGTCATATGCCTACATGAGTTCTTCAGAAGGTCTTTTATGAATAGAAGGCCTTCAAGTCTTATATCTATAGAAAACCTTCGAAAGTTCTTCCATGACTAGAAGACCTCCTGAAGGTCTTCTATGAATAAAAGACCTTAAAACCTTTTATCCACAGAACCCCTTTGGAAGTCCTATATATGTATGATATATTTAATGAATACGAGACCTGCTATCTACAGAACACCTTTGGAATGTATTTTGTATATCGTGGACCTTCAGAAGGTCCTTCTCTTGGAAGGTCTTCAATCTATATGTTATCTACGAACGAGATTCTATTTATTATCTTCTTCTACTTCTTCTGACCATCTTGAGATATTCTGAAGGTATCCTACCCATTAGAAACTTGTTTCCATAGGAAGCTTTCAACAGGTTTTCTATCTAGAGGGAGGTATTTTTATAGGAAACCTTCCAAAGGTATTGTATGTTTTGAATCAACCGGAAATGTTTAGAATGCCTTCCATCAATAGAAGTTACATTCTTCCATCAAAAAGGTGTTTTTAACAGTAAAACGGGCTTTAAGTTCGCCCGGGCCTAACTTTGAGGGCCTATAGGCTTAAAGTAAAATGAAATTATGAAAAGAGAAGAATATGTTAACTCAGAATGTCAATCAAAAATACCGAAAATCGGGAGATAACGTTATATGGGACCTATACCAATTAGTGGAACTGTCGCGAATATTTTTTTTAGCTAGGAGAGAAAAGGCCTTTCAAGATCAACAAATGCCAGGTTTCAAGTGATTTTGTTGGAAGTTGTGGCAGAAATCTCAAAAATCGGGACGTACCATTATATAAAAGCTTACCACTTAGGCTTTAATGAAATTTTTTTTTTTTTTTTTGGAAGTAGAAAACTGACCTACCGAGAACTCCAGTTGTCAAGTTTCAGCTAATTTGGTTGGAAATTGTGGCAGAAACTTTCCAAATACCGAAAATCGGGAGGTACATTTATATGGAAGCTTTACAAATTAGTTGACCTATAGCAAATATTTGGAAGGGAGAGAACAGAGCTACAAAGAACGCCAAATGTAAAGTTTTATTTATTTGGAAATTATGACAGAAACCTTCAAAATACCGAAAATCTGGAGGTTCGGTTGAATGAGGACTATACCTAAACGTGGACCGATATAGGCAATTTTCAATACCAATCAACCTGCATATAATATAAACCTTTGTGCTAGATTAAATAATATAAACTCTATCGGTATTTCAACAGACAGACGGAAGTCGTTAATTCCCCTTACAACTCCATTCTGATCGGCAATATATATATTTTAGGGATCTCCAACGAATATTTATAGATTTTGCTAACGGAATGACAAAATTAATATACCTTCCATTGTGTGGCGGTAAGTATAAAAAGAAACCCTTTAGAAGGACTTTCGTAAAAGTTTAAAAAGCCCATTTTTAATAGCGGACCTTTAGTAGGATTTGTCAGAAGTTTTAATGATCTTGTATGCCTTTAAGACCTTTTATAATTCCGTTTTCCTATTTCATCTATAGAAGACACTCTAAGCCCTCCAGTTCCTTGAAGTTCTTTTGAAGATGACTTCTATAGGTATTCTGTACTCTTACGATGTCTGGAATGTCTCATTCTCTAGAGGTCCTTAAGGATTTCTTTTACACAAGTAAGTCTTTTATAAAGTTTAGTACGCATAAGAAACCTGTATTCAATCTACAAAAGTCTCTCATATGTATGGTATAACTTAGAATTCTACAACCCATTTTTAACTCAAATAAATTTAATAAAATGCATTCTTACCCTACACAATCGACCCCATCCCAGTATGGTGCAATGGGCACCAAATTGCGGTGGTCCCTCCGGTAATCGAATTGACTTGATGGCCGTACTATTCTCAGGAATTACACCTTTCAATCGAATAATTGCAATATCATTTTGATTCTTGCGAACAAAATTTAAATTGGCCGCCAGTGAACGTACAGGATATTGAATTGTGGTGTTGGAAGGCTCTACACGATTTGGGGTCCCAGCGACTAAGAGAAGTCTCCTCGGTTTTGTTATAACACGACGTTTGCTAGAAATGTCAACAATAAAATATTTATTTGTTTGTATTTCTACTCTCTTGTCTTACTCCATGACACAATGAGCCGTGGTCAGCACCAAATCCTTGCCGAATATTGTACCCGCACAGAAATGATTATCACCAAAGTATTTTTGTGGATTTCTTGAACGTATCGATACCATATAGGGAACAAATTTCTCCATTGGTATTGGATGACGTAAACCACCGGCGATCAAGAATAAGAATTCAATTTCTAGATCCTCTACTTCCAATTGAAATACGGAATTCAGGTAAATACTATTAAGGGCGGAAAAATTACCGTGCGATAGCTTCAGCATCAGTAGAGTTATTAGAAAATGTATTATTAACTTTTGCATTTTTATATTTGGGGAATTGTCACAAGTTGACACTTAACTCCTGAGTACTGCTTTTACTGGAAATTAAATAAAACAAGTTAAAAAGAATAAGGCGATTTTGTCGTCAGATATATATCCTCAGCTTATGACTGATAACAAAATATATTTCACATTGAATATTCATTGGGTTGGTTCCGAAGGAGTGGGCCAATATTTTCTATTTCGCTATAAGTCTTCTATAATTATTGTGACAAGTTCACACCTAGGAATACAGGCTGAGATGAAAAAACTGCAACCAACTTCAGAGTGCTGTCATTTCTAAGCCACTCGTCCGACAGCTGTTAAAATTATTCCAGTGGCAGCCCATTATATTGTTTACAAGCGTACAAAAGCATTTTGGTGAGAATTTCTCAGATAAAAAGTTATTCGTGATGGAATTCAAGCGTAATAGTGGGATTTCCTCACATTTGACTGGAAAACCACAATTGGCTATCGTTAGAGCACTCCAGCATTTCAATGTGAATAAATTTTTTGTGTCCCGTACCATCACTCGTTACCGTAATAGTGTAGCCCGACATCAAGGAAGTGAACGAAAATAAAACAGCAACATCAGCAGAAATGGTTCGAAAAGTAAAGAAGCGACTTGATCGAAACCCGTGTCGCAGTGACCGAAAATGGCTCGTGAGCTAAATATATCGCAAGATTCCATTCGGCAAATATTGAAAAATGAGCTCGTGGTAAAGCCATTGAAATTCCAAAAAGTGCAAGAACTTACACCGCAACAGAAAGAAAATAGACTCAAAAGAGCTAAAGAGTGGTTCGCTTGGCCGAAAGTAGTGAATTGCCGAATTAGGTTTTCTCCGATGAGAAAAGCATTTGTTGTCCAGCAGTTTGTAAATAAACAAAATGATCGTGTTCATTTGCCAAAGAGGTCAGCTAAGATGTGCACCTTCGGTTGGCCACCAGCGCCGGCCAAGGCGATGGTGTGGGCCGCCATAACAGCCGATGGTTGCTCTCCGCTCGTAATAATCGGTCGTGACATCAGAATTATTGAAGAATATTATTGCGAAAATATTCTGGAGCTTGTATTAAAGCCTTGGAAGCCTGGAGGGTGTATTAAAGCCTTGGCTGCAGACCTTGGACATTTCAACAGGACTCAGCACCATCGCACCATCGCCCCACCCCAAGAATGGTTATAAAAATGAGGTTCCTCGCTTAATTTCCAGCTCACAATGGCCACCAAAATCTCCGGATACCAATCCGTTGGACTATTGTGTCTGGAGTATTTTTGAAAGCAAGGTTGGCAGTAAACAAGCAAAAACATTAAGTTCGGCCGGGCCAAACTGTTTATACCCTCCACCTTAGGGTAAAGGAAACATTAGAGCCCATTATGACCCACATATACCAATTTTTAGACAAATTCATGGGAAATATGCCAAAAATCATCGAAATATCGGGAAATACGGCTATATGGGACTATACAAAAACGTCGGATACAGTGTTTCGCCAAAAGAGCTACAACCCATTAAGACCAACAAATACCAATTTCTAGACAAATCCGCGAAGAAATGTGGCAAAAACCATTACAATGCCGAATATCGGGAGGTACCGTTATATGGGGGCTATACTAAATCGTGGACCCATACATGCGATGATTCGCCACCGGAGCTGGAACCCATTATGACCAACAAATACCAATTTTTAAACTAATCCGTGAAAAAATGTGGCAAAAATAATCAAAATAGGGAATATCGGGAGGTACCGTTATATGGGGACAATACCAAATTGTGGACCCATACATGCAATGTCTCTCTACACGAACTGGGACCCGTTATGACCTACAAATACCAATTTTCAGACAAATCCGTGAAAAAATGTGGCATAAATAATCAAAATACCGAATATCGGGAGGTACCTTTATATGGGGGGCTATACCAAAACGTGGACCGATATATCTCATTTTCAATACCAACCATCCTAGACATAATACAAATTGCTCTGCTAAATGTTGGCGCTCTACGTCAAATAATGTGGGCTGTATCTTGATTTCAACAGACAGACAGACGGACATCTTTAAATCGACTTAGAATTTTATGCTGATTATGAAAATATATACTTTATGAGGTCTACGATGAATATATAAGAATGCTACAAGCGGAATGACAAAGTTAATATACCCTCCTTTCCAAGGTGGAGGGTATAAAAATACCAAAGTGTGGATCGCTTCGCCGGAAATGGGCCAAAATACCGCAAAGCAACATTCAGGCAGCGTGTGACGGTTTTATTGCCCGTATTTCCTGCCAAAGGTGACCAATTCGAACAAATCTAAACTGATTCTAAAATTTGAAGCTATTTCCGACATTTTTGCTTTTGTTCAATAAAATTGGAAAAAAATGTAATAATTATGGCGTTTGACTTTGTTGCAGTTTTTTATCTCACCCTGTATAGTTACATCGGTCATCGGTATCATTCAATTTTTTCGACTGATTAACGGCGTCAGAATCCCCATCATCTAATGGTGGAGGGAAACCCGAAATTTTTCATCCTATAACGTTTGATATTTAAATTCAGTTATATCCAGCCTACACCTCTTTCCATCAAAAGCCATCAACGTCTGCATTTGTCTGTCGATGTAACCGCAACTCTACTGTAATCCCTTCCTTTTGGGATTATATATACATAGATATTAGGTATATGTCACCCAGAAAAAAATACCTACCTTCACCCACTCCAAATACTTCCCCCAAAATCCCTCCACTTAGACCTCTAAACATATTACACTAGACCACAATGCAATAAACGCGTTACTTCCAGGCAAAATGTTCGCTGCCACGTTGACAGAGGAAAGGTCACATCCGAAGCACTTTTGGCATTTAAGTCATGTAACAACTGCCACGGTTGTCAACTAAAAGCAATATTTGTGAATATCATTGGAACAAAAATACACAACACCAACAGCCATAAAGCTGAAGCCATAGCCAAAGCCTACGCATCCGCATCCACAAAAATTCTCACAAATCCAAACAGACGGTGGCAGTTAAAAATAGCCCTTGTGGTAAGGACTTCACATGAAAAATGGACAGCAAACAAATAACGCAGCAAATAAACTTCAGCCAGAAACATCAACCGCACAGTCACACTCAACGTTAACGCACACAAACGCATGCAACACACATCCAGAAACAGAAAAACACATAACGACGCCAATTTGAATTCTCACACATCCGATGTGGCAACTACTACTAATACTAGTGTCCATGGCATGGGGAGCGAACAGGCAGCCAAAGATACAATGGCATGACACCGCCCGCAGCACAATAAGGAAGTAAAGAAAAGCACACACACACAGACAAACAAACAAACTGAAGGATATTTATGTGAATGCTGAAATGATTCGCGGGCAACGATTTCAAAAATCCAATATTTTAGTATTTGGGGTTTGGTTAAATCAACGCTCGCTCACCCACACCCCAACACAAATTGAAGACATTGAATTGTGTGGCGATATTCGCTGTTTTCAAGCAAATGAATTGGGACAATTTATTATTGGGGATTTAAAAATGAATGTGGATAACATTTTAAGCAAGGCAAATATTTCATTCCAATCGAAGCAAGGAGGACGATGAAGATGTCAAGAAACAATGTTGACATAAGGAAAATGCAAGATATTTACAAGTTATGTGTATGTGTGTGGGCAGTGGAGGAAGTGATATATAACTTTTGATAGGTGCGATTTGGAAATTAATTCCTCCAAATGTTAGGAGGTTAATAGCATTGAGCAGGGGCTGAAGCCGTTGGTAGTTGACAGTCGAAATTGAGGTAAATATCTTAATAATATTAAAGTTTCTATGGTATTTACTATTATCTTAAATATATAAAAATTAGTTGCATTGTGTTGGTAATTAACGTTGTGTGTAATGCGTCAAGCGATTTTGCTTCTGCAACTTCATATGAAAGGTGAAGTCAATACCAAGGTTCATATGTGTGATTTATGTATATTGACCCATGAGTTATAGACATTTTAGATCATTCAGTTTGAAACATGTATTTTGAACATATTTCAGTGAGCCGATTATTCAACGCACAGGAGGGCGCATGAAGTTAGAATTTTGAATTAAGTATATGAGTTAATGTGGGGGTAGAAGTGGCATAAAGCTGATTTTTTGAAAAGGTACAAAAAATTGAACCAAATTCAAAGATGCTTCGACATAAAAGTTTACTAAAAGTATTAAAATTTAAAAAAAAAAAATAGATTTTGAAAAAATTAACCAAAGGCTATAGTAGTGCGGGCCCGACCTTGTGATACCCTACAACACTACAATATGTTAGAAGCCCCCTTATGTCGATAAAATTAAAAAGAAAACAAGTAAAAAAACATTAAGTTCGGCCGGGCCGAACTTTTAATTCCCTCCACTCTAGGGTAATGGAAACACTAGAACCAATTATGACCCACAAATACCAATTTTTAGACATATTCGTGGGAAAATTTGGCAAAAATCATCAAAATACCGAATATCGGGAGGTACCGATATATATGGCTATACAAAAGCGTGGACCTATACATACAAAGTTTTTCCACCGGAGCTGGAACCCATTATGACTAACAAATACCAATTTTTAAACAAATTCATGAAAAAATGTGACAAAAATCATCAAAATACCGAATATCGGGAGGTACCTTTGTATGGGGGCTATACCAAAGCGGGGACCTATACATACAATGTTTCGCCGCACGAACGTGGACCCATTATGACCGACAAATAGCAATTATCAGACAAATCCGTAAAAAAATCATCAAAATACCGAATGTAGAGGGTATAACAAGTAAGCAAAGGCTATAGTCGTGCGATATGTGATACCCCTTATATCCAATTCCATTTTGGAAGATTTCGCTTTTGAAATGCTGTCATAGAGCATTGTCATTACCCTTAGCTCTTTGACCAGGGCATTTGCCCAATATTTACGCATTCCGTCGTGTTGTTATTTGTTGTGGACCATTTTGTAGTTACGTACAACGCAGTGGTCATCCAATATGCTACACTTCTTCGCTC